TTGGGTTTTTCACGGGTTTTGAAAAGTGGAGGATGTGAATAGGGAGGAAAAATTCTGGAAGGTGTTGACCGCGGAAAAAAAATAAATGGAGGGTGCAAATAGGGGCTTTGGCCTTTCCTTTATTATCTAAAGTAAGTTTTGACTTGATAAAAAGATCCGCTAACATGTCCAGCTTTGCGAGAAGCTCATCCTCTAAGTCATTATCAATTACAATAACATTCTCAATAAAACTTTACAAGAATATGGTGACAAAAGCACAAAGAGGGATCAAATGGCAGACCATAGTAGTAGAATTCAAAACTCACGTAGATTTCAAAAAGCAAGATAACCACAATGTCATTAACCTTAATTTACTTAATTGGAGAGGCCACAGGTTTAATGAAATCCATTTTCGTTGGGGTTAGATCGATGAGTTCATTCAGTTTAACTATTTTAAAATTGTTATTAATAATGCATAGAGAGAATTTAGAACCCTTAACCTTTGTGGTTGAAGAAGATCTTTTGCCAGATTTTGAGTGAGAGGAGGTAGCATCATCTTTATCACCATCATCAGATTTATTTTTAGTAGAATTTGTCATCGCAATAGCCTTGATAGAATCATCTTCTGCCTTGACAATTTACTACTAAGCTTTAGTGGCAAAAGTAGTTTCTAATGGTAATGTAAACCTAATGAGCTTTTTGGCTATAAAGGGCTTGATTGTTGGCCTTTTGACACCTATAAATAAAAAAAAAAAATTATTTGAAGGTAGATTATGCAAAACTAAAAGTAAGGGAAGCACATGACAAATTTACCTCTTGTTCTTTGCTACTTAGAAGGAGTATCCCTCTCCACATAATTTGTAAGGATGAAGGCCTTTCTCTTGGCAAGGATCCTTGGAGCTTTTTCTAGCAAATTTGACTTCTTGGTTTGAATGGTGATGGCAAATTCTGAGTCATCTCCTTTTTCTTCAAATTTTCTTATATTGGTTTGAATCACTAAATGGAGAGTTACACACACCCTCAAAACATAAATGGTATCTACTTAAGCCTTAGTATCCTATCATATAAGAGGCTAGAGGTTTGGATATTTCAAATTCTACCTGAGATAGATTTAGGGCAAAAATTGAACAATACATTTTTTTTCCCTGTTTAGCATTTTATAATTCAATAAAAGTGCTGATATGAATTTGTAAGTTGGTCAGATTTGGTTGAGCAATCAAAGTGGCTAGATTATTACTATGAAAAATTCTAACCTACTACAAAATAGGGATAAGGCATGCAACAAGCAAGTTCCCACAAGCATAAACAAGGGTCAAAGTTGATATCAAAGTACCAATTTGCATGGCCCCTAGATCGCAAACATCAAGTTCAAAGATCAAAAACATGCAAAATATAGTTCAAAGTAAGACAAGCATAGAAGAAAAAATCTAACAAAAGCAATTTCGCCAATCACTCCATTCTTTCCTCATGTTATTGAGTTCTTCAGTGACATCATCTATAAAGGCTGTGAGAGAGGAAAGCTAATTTTTTATTTTGGAAACTATGTTCAACTCTGCCTCAATATCAACAAGAAGTTTGTTGTGTTGTTCTGCCATGCTCTCTTCTGTCTGCTTCACAAGGGGAATCTGTTTCTTTAGCTCTGCAAGCTTAGTCTCAAGGTTTGAGATCTCTTCTTTCAAACCTTGAAATTATTCAACATATACAACAGGAGCATCTTTCACTGCTAATAATTCATTTTTCTTTTCTAAGATCGCGATGGGGTGATTTTTTACAAATTTCCTAATAGACTTGGTTGTTATCACTTTATTATCATGGGCCAAGAATCTTTTGCTGAAATCTAAATAAATGATGGGGAAATTTGTCTAAAACTTGCGTTGAGCAGAAACAATTGTGGTGCTCGACAAAGAACTTGAGTTGTTTGGAAGGTGGCCAGTTGATTTGGCACTTTGTAGATATTAGAGGATCACTATCAATAAGCTC